CTACTGTTGGGTCCATAGTTGTGTGTTGATGGTTGTGCTGTATAGTCACATGGCATAGAGCGCCCTCATGCTAGCCCACCTGGCTTCGTCCACCTGGCCTCGACCACCTGGCCTCGACCACCTGGCCTCGACCACCTGGCCTCGACCACCTGGCCTCGACCACGAGCTCTTGCTACCCACCTTTCCCCCTAGTGTCTCCATGTGCTTTCGAAATGCTATAATTTGATTTCCCCCATTTTCTTCAGATTTTGTATATATATATTTTTGCTCGTGTATGTTCTCATCCGGAATATTGTTAATGGACTGGATTTAGTGTGTGTATCTTCGCCAATTTTGGATAAGTATTTTGAAATTTTGTTTTCAAACTTTTTTTATATTTTTTATTTTTTTGTAATATGGCTGTTATTGCCATATTGTGTGTTACTCCTATAGTGTAATAAGACTTTTTGAGAGTTTGTAAAAGCAATTGATCATCCAAACTGATAGAGAGAGTTGAAGACTTGGTGGTTCGGGGAGGTTGCTTGGGGGCCCTCAGGTCCTCGCCGGGGGTCCCAGGGCGTCAGGTCCTCGCCGGGGGTCCCAGGGCGTTAGGTCCTCGCCGGGGGTCCCAGGGCGTTAGGTCCTCGCCGGGGGTCCCAGGGCGTCAGGTCCTCGCCAGGGTCCCAGGGCGTCAGGTCCTCGCCAGGGTCCCAGGGCGTCAGGTCCTCGCCAGGGGGCCCAGGGCGTTAGGTCCTCGCCATGGTCCCCAGGGCGTTAGGTCCTCGCCATGGTCCCCAGGGCGTTAGGTCCTCGCCATGGTCCCCAGGGCGTTAGGTCCTCGCCATGGTCCCCAGGGCGTCAGGTCCTCGCTAGGGGCCCAGGGCGTCAGGTCCTTGCCAGGGTCCCAGGGCGTCAGGTCCTCGCCAGGGGGCCCAGGGCGTCAGGTCCTCGCTAGGGGGCCCAGGGCGTCAGGTCCTCGCCAGGGGGCCCAGGGCGTCAGGTCCTCGCCAGGGGGCCCAGGGCGTCAGGTCCTCGCCATGGGCCCAGGGCGTCAGGTCCTCGCCATGGGCCCAGGGCGTCAGGTCCTCGCCATGGGCCCGGGGCGTCAGGTCCTCGCCATGGGCCCAGGGCGTCAGGTCCTCGCCAGGGGGCCCAGGGCGTCAGGTCCTCGCCATGGGCCCAGGGCGTCAGGTCCTCGCCATGGGCCCAGGGCGTCAGGTCCTCGCCATGGGCCCAGGGCGTCAGGTCCTCGCCAGGGGGCCCAGGGCGTCAGGTCCTCGCCATGGTCCCCAGGGCGTTAGGTCCTCGCCATGGTCCCCAGGGCGTCAGGTCCTCGCTAGGGGGCCCAGGGCGTCAGGTCCTCGCCAGGGTCCCAGGGCGTCAGGTCCTCGCCAGGGGTCCCAGGGCGTCAGGTCCTCGCCAGGGGGCCCAGGGCGTCAGGTCCTCGCCATGGGCCCAGGGCGTCAGGTCCTCGCCATGGGCCCAGGGCGTCAGGTCCTCGCCATGGGCCCAGGGCGTCAGATCCTCGCCATGGGCCCAGGGCGTCAGGTCCTCGTCAGGGGGCCCAGGGCGTCAGGTCCTCGCTAGGGGGCCCAGGGCGTCAGGTCCTCGCCATGGGCCCAGGGCGTCAGGTCCTCACCATGGGCCCAGGGCGTCAGGTCCTCGCATGGGGGCCCAGGGCGTCAGGTCCTCGCCATGGGCCCAGGGCGTCAGGTCCTCGCCATGGGCCCAGGGCGTCAGGTCCTCGCCAGGGGGCCCAGGGCGTCAGGTCCTCGCCAGGGGGCCCAGGGCGTCAGGTCCTCGCCAGGGGGCCCAGGGCGTCAGGTCCTCGCCAGGGGGCCCAGGGCGTCAGGTCCTCGCCATGGGCCCAGGACGTCAGGTCATCGCCATGGGCCCAGGGCGTCAGTCCTCGCCATGGGCCCAGGGCGTCAGGTCCTCGCCATGGGCCCAGGGCGTCAGGTCCTCGCCAGGGGTCCCAGGGCGTCAGGTCCTCGCCAGGGGGCCCAGGGCGTCAGGTCCTCGCCAGGGGTCCCAGGGCGTCAGGTCCTCGCCAGGGGGCCCAGGGCGTCAGGTCCTCGCCAGGGGGCCCAGGGCGTCAGGTCCTCGCCATGGGCCCAGGGCGTCAGTTCCTCGCCATGGGCCCAGGGCGTCAGGTCCTCGCCATGGGCCCAGGGCGTCAGGTCCTCGCCAGGGGGCCCAGGGCGTCAGGTCCTCGCCATGGGCCCAGGGCGTCAGGTCCTCGCCATGGGCCCAGGGCGTCAGGTCCTCGCCATGGGCCCAGGGCGTCAGGTCCTCGCCATGGGCCCAGGGCGTCAGGTCCTCGCCATGGGCCCAGGGCGTCAGGTCCTCGCTAGGGGGCCCAGGGCGTCAGGTCCTCGCCATGGGCCCAGGGCGTCAGGTCCTCGCCATGGGCCCGGGGCGCCAGGTCCTCGCCATGGGCCCAGGGCGTCAGGTCCTCGCCAGGGGGCCCAGGGCGTCAGATCGTGATCCTCCCAAGAGAAAGGATTGCATTGTAAAGTAATCCTTGCAAATTCAGGGCTTACGGGCTACATACAGATGATACATGTACGGTATGGATACATACCCTTGAAGCGGGAAGGATACGTGCCCAGGAAGCACCTCCTGAGATGATACATGTATCAGGCAGTGTCGGGGAGCAGGAGGATAGGCAGGCTCCTAGCCACCGTTGTGGAGGGTAGTGTGGGTCCCTGCCGGCCGTCTGTTGCTGGCCCCTCGGGGGTCTCGCTGGCCTCCCCCCCCGGGGGGTCTCTCTGGCCCCCCCCCGGGGGGTCTCTGCCCCCCCCCCGGGTGGTCTCTCTGGCCCCCCCGGGGGTCTCGCTGGCCCCCCCGGGGGTCTCGCTGGCCCCCCCGGGGGTCTCGCTAGCCTCCCCCCCCCGGGGGTCTCGCTGGCCTCCCCCCTCCCGGGGGGTCTCTCTGGCCCCCTCCCGGGGGATCTCTCTGGCCCCCCCCGGGGGGGTCTCGCTGCCCCCCCCCCCCGGGGGTTTCGCTGGCCCCCCCGGGGGGTCTCGCTAGCCCGAACAACATTATGCCGCCGACATCATAGTCTCCGGCAATATTACGTTGTATCACCTCACCGAAGACATATACTCGTCCTGAACCCGTCCAACACTCGTCGACATTACCTATAATCCGGTACTCGTCTATTTGTTCCGCGTTAACTTCCCCATCCTCAGTCCCACGCTCTCTCTTGGGCCTTCAAGTCTTGCTTATATACCTTCCCCTCTAGCCTATTTCCCCCTCTGTACCACCAGCGCCCCCTGCTGTAACCCCCCTAGCCTCTGCCCCCTCTGTACAACCAGCGCCCCTCGTATCGAAGCACCCCATTGGGTTATGGGTAGTTTTCTTCACCCGCCACTGGGAGAATACAAACTATCCCTGCTTGAGGAGACGACCTGCCCATCTCGCCCCCACATGTACTATCCTTACCTCCATCTCCCCCCCCCTTTCCCCCCCCTTTTCCCCTTCCCCCCCCTTTTCCCCTTCCCCCCCCTTTTCCCCTTCCCCCCCCTTTCCCCCCCCTTTTCCCCTTCCCCCCCTTTTTCCCCTCCATCTCCCCCCCTTTTCCCCTCCATCTCCCCTTCTCCCAGCCCCTCGGTAGTTCCCGGCCCGTCACTTGTCTTGCTGTGTGGTGGGTTTGGAAGGGACGGGTGATGGGGGCGAGGCGTGGCCTGGTTCACCTGACGCCGCTCGCCCGCCAGGGAGAGCCGCCCCCCACACCCCGCCCCCCGCCACACACTACCTCCTTTCCTTCCCCCCCCCCCACTACCACACAACCATCCCTCCCTCCGCCATCATTGCTGGGTGTGAGGCCAATTCCCTTCCCCCCCCCCAACACCAACCACCTGCCCTTCACCTTACCTTTCCTCCTCCTCCTCCTCTCTCTCGCTCTCTGTCTCTCTCTCGCTCTCTGTCTCTCTCTCGCTCTCTCTCTCTCTCTCTCGCTCTCTGTCTCTCTCTCGCTCTCTGTCTCTCTCTCGCTCTCTGTCTTTCTCTCGCTCTCTGTCTCTCTCTCGCTCTCTGTCTCCCTCCCTCTCCCCCCCCTCTCCTCTCCCCCCCTCTCCTCTCCCCCCCTCTCCTCTCCCCCCCCCCTCCTCTCTCTTCCCCCCTCTCCTCTTCCCCCCCTCTCCTCTTCCCCCCCTCTCCTCTCCCTCCCCCCTCTCCCTCCCCCCCAGGTACCACCCCTGGCCACTGGAGGGGGGCGGCGCTGCTGTTCTCTCCAGGACCTAAACTGTGTAGCGCGTAGAACCCTGCAACCCGAAGTCTATATTTAGACGGCATTCCGCTACAGTTCGCTCGATCTCCATCAGCTGGCAAGTGTGGTGTGTACTCGTACATGTACTCGTACATGTACTCGTACATGTACTCATACATGTACTCATACATGTACTCATACATGCACTCACTACATGTGCTTGCATGGTGGAGATCAGCTCCCTGCCCCGCCTTCCCAACGATCATAGATTAATGCCCAGACTCATTTCTCACTCTTTTTATCATACTTGTATTTAACAATTTTAATGGAATTAGTTTGAACGACGTGTGTGTGTGTGTGTGTGTGTGTGTGTGTGTGTGTGTGTGTGTGTGTGTGTGTGTGTGTGTGTGTGTGTGTGTGTGTGTGTGTCCAACTACTGAGACCTCTTCCAGGATGCATCTAATAACAGCTAACACCCGGGTACCTATTTACTGCTAGGTGGACAGAGGCATGAGGTAAAGGAAACGCTGCTAATTTGTTTCTGACCCGAACAGGATTTGAATGCGAGACAAACGGATTGTGATTTATTTTTAGTGTGTGCCTACACCCCCCCTCCCTCAACCACCCTTGACGCCCCCTTAACCTCCCCCCTTAACCCCCCCTTTAACCTTCCACCCCCCCCCCAACCCCATGTTTTAACATTCAGTCAGGCTTTTGGTCTCGGTTGGTTGTTCTAGGAGCCGGAAAATTAAGCTAATTAACAAAAACCTCGCACTGTATCTTTTGCGAAATTGAATTTTTATTTTTTTGTAGTTTTTTGTGCATGTGTTTTTTCCCATCGGTGGGAGGGGGGGGGGAGTTGTGTAATTGCTTAATTGTGATTACCTAAGGGTAGTTATAGGGTGAGAGATATGCTCGTGGTGACCCGTCTTCCCAGTACTCTTTGTCGTATAACACCTTGAAACTATTGACGATTTTTGCCTCCAAACACCTCAGTGGTTCTAGCCGTTTACGGCGTCTTTTCTTCCTTAGCTCAGTCTTCTTGTTCTTCAAGTTGCAGTTTTTAAGAAATTTCCAAATGAGAATTTTTGTCAATTCCTGCTAGCATTTTGTATGTTGTGATCATGTTCCTTCTTTTTCTTCAGTCTTCCAGTTTTGGTCAGTTGAACACCTCGAGACTGTCTTCGTAGATCTTGTTTATCAATGAGATTTACGTTCATCTTGTCTGTTTATCTACGTTTATCTGTTTATCTTCGTTTATCTGTTTATCTTGTCTTGTTCCGGAAGCCACTTCTTATCATGGAGTTTGCACCTTTCAGATTTTTTTGTTCTGCCATACATCCGCTTCATTTTTTTTATTTTGGTTCACAAAAATCGTGAAAATTTTGTTTACAATATCACCATGCATGGAGTTAAAAGCGATTCTGAAGATCGAATGTGCAGCATTGATCCGTTTCTTTGTTAGATTTCTTTAACGCCTTTTCACATAATTTGTGGGTTGTGTGACCTATTTTTAACGTTCCATTTTTCATATTGAGACATTTAATCACATTGAATTCTATTTGACCAAGTGTGGCTCCATACATTAATTTTGTCGATCATCGTAAAGAGCATGACAGTGGTGTAAGATTCTTATATTCACTAGAAACTTAGCATGAACTAACATGTTCATATATTGTTGTACGTATTCCCTCAGGCAGGTCATATATTTAGACAATGAACACCCACATGATACTACAATGGAACATTTTAATACACCACTAATAAGCAGATGACACAATTTGAAGTATGTTGACCAGACCACACACTACGACGACGTTTCGGTCCGTCCTGGACCATTCTCAAGTCGATTGTATAACATTTGTTGTCTGATACATTCCCTAAGACTATCGGCCTCATTTTCCTGTCGGCTAGAAAATTTGTCATCCATGTCAGAAATCATCCAGTTTCCCCTCTAGAATGCCCTAGCTTCCAGAACAGCCTCTTGGCTGCGACTGTCAAAAAGGGTTTTGACAGAAAAATGCAATCACCCCAACCACCTCTTTCATGTAAGATCTCCATGGTTCTGTCATAAAAACTGAGGTTTGTTGAAGGATCTTTGTACTCGTACGCCGTACTATCTGTCAGTTATTAAGTTATTTCCAGGTGTTCTAACTATTTTTTTCATTTGTTTTCACTGCCACGCATCGATACAGGTCTGTAATGTTGAGGGTTTTCTCCGTTAACATTTTTGTTGAGCGGAACTATTTTTGCCGCTTGCCAAATATCTGCTAAGATTCTTGTACATAACTATGCTTAAAAAATCATACGAAGTGGAATATTACACTCTGGTGCGCATTCTCTCTTAAGTTGAGACTCCATCAGAGCCAACTGTGTTATCTAGCTCCTTGAGCATTTTTTTTTCTCTGGACACTTCCTTGGAAACACAGACCGTAACTCTCTATTTTCCGTTTGTTACAACTTGTAATAAAATTGTTACATTTTGGCTTAACGTGTTTATGACGTATTAGGACGTTCTTACAACTGGCTATATTGGTTGTTATAACTGGTTAGGAGGTGATAAAACTTATTCGAACGTTGTACCGACGTCGTAGTTTCGGTGTGTGTTTGGCGGGTTCTATGTTCTCTGAAATCAGTATCTTGTCTTGTTGTCTTGCGCGCGCACGCACACACACACACACACACACACACACACACACACACACACACACACACACACACACACACACACACACACACACACACACACACACACACTTTGGAACTGCTTACTTAGTGTTTCATATATTTCCTCTTCATTCTGTGAACCTTTTCCTCATTGTCAACCTCTCGATTTTATCCTTTACTCGCAATTTGGTTTTAATAAATTAATGGATCAGACCTGTCTCTGTTTTGTGTGTGTTCGTTATCCCACCATCAAGGTTTCTTTCTGCCCCTCTCCTTACTACCGTATTGTTGTTCCTTGCTTGTTTGATTTTTGGTTTAGTTTGTACGGATTAGGATTAATCCTCCAATTTTATTTGTCATTTGTTATCTGGCCTTTTTGCCATTAATGTTAAACCAATCCTATTTTAGAGTTCTGCAACTCTGTTTAACTTTGTTGTTGTGCCTTCATGATATATATCACAAAATATGCCATACATTTCATTTACGTCCTTGCCTAACACGTCGTTCCAAACAAATTAATTAAAAACTTCTAAAGTTTCCCATTGTGTCCTCTTCTAAAATCAAATGTATAAGTTGTTTAATTTCCCATTTTCTTCTAGATTATACCGCATTACGTATTCTATTTCCAATAGGACATTGTC